TTTTTGTTAAATGAATGTTTTGCGACCTTTATAAATTTTTGAAACCTATAATTAAAGTTTTTAAAGGTTGAATAAAATTTTTTTGGGAAATGAATCTCATAGTATTGCTGGGGTTTTGAATTACCTTCTTACATGTGCACTGCAACAGTTATATATTTTTAAGTTATTTCTGTGCTGATATTATATTGGCCGTAAGATTTAGGTAATGATTAAGCGACTTAGCAAATTTGTCAAACTTTATTGAACTCGGTGGTTTCCTCATAAATTTGTTGTTAATTCGTTGTTAGTTATCAATTTTTTTTTAATTTCTTAATTCACTAATTATTTTTTTGTCATACAATGGGCAAAGGTTTGTAAAGGAGCATATATGTAAGGAAGGATTGTTAAAGTATATTATTGCTTGGAAATTCATGCCATATTTCAGTTTGGTACGGTTTGAGTAAACGGAAAAAGGTTGAAATAATTTGCAAAAATGTTTTTTAATAAAAGATTTTTTTTTTTGTAAATTATGTGTCGCAAAGTTTTTCTTTTTACATTTTTTGTGTTGTCGAATGGAAAAGATTATTAAGCGTTTTCATAGATGACGATTGTACTTTAAGTGATTCCATTGCAGTTCTCCATTTTTGTCAGTTACTGAATCAAAGATTTCTGTGATAAATTTATTGCGGAAGTTTTTTAGGAGCATGCCTGACTTTGAAGTAATCTTTGTAACTGAGATTAGGATGCGCAAGAGAACGCAAATTAGGTAACTTTGTAATAGTAGCGATTTTGAACCTTATCTTAATTTGCGACATGACACGTTATAAGTTCAGCGAAGACTCAAGTGGAAACTGAAGTCAGATTCTGCTGGTCGTGAAGTGTCAACAGTTTTCTTTCGTTTGTTTGTGAAATTTGAAAAAAAATTTTCATTGCTCTCTTGATACGGCTTCCGTGTTAATTCTGTAAATTATGCATTTGCACTTTTTTTTTTTACTATCAGAGAATCATATTTGAAAAATGTTAGAAATTGTTTTTTAAAAATTTGGATTTATTTTGTTAAAACAAATTTTTTGTATGACTAATGGTTAGGTTTTGGTAGAATGTGTATTATCTTCTTTTACATACGTTACTGAGACCTGAAAATTGTAGCTAAATTGTCTCTTCAGTTTAGTTGTAAGAACTAAACACTGGTTTAAACTGAGGATTTTTCGGGCGAGGATCACATGCTTCACAGGGCAGTGAGTTATTGAGTAGATCTGGTCTTGTATTAGCGGACGTGAACATTTATGCAAGTGGTAAATCTCGTATTAGTTGCTGGAAGCTACTAGAAAACTTAGATCCTGACTTGTTAACGATCGTTTTATTATTTTTTATTATTTTTTATGCACTTGTTCTTTTCTTCTTTGTAATCCTCTCGATATACTGATGTTCAGAAGAACATGGTAGCTTTTATAGAAATACGATCAGCAGGGTTCTAAGTGAATAAACAGTGCTATGTTATTTTCAACTGTAAAAGACTTTTAAAACTTCAAACGTTTGTAGTTTTACTTTATTAAAGTATCTGCGCGTAGGCTAGGTCATTTAGGAGTTGTTCGTCGTAGTGTTTTCATTAAAAGCCTGATATTTTTGTGAAGTTTTGGCTGTTTTTTTAATTGTTTTTTTTTCTTTTTATAATGTTGGTCAAGTATTAACTGCAAGTTCTCAATTATAATAACGTTTATGCCTCACATTTCGTTTTTTGTTCGTTTTTCCTGCGATATTTCTATTGTTAGAGGGATATGAAGGCTTGTAAGATTGCTTTGATGTGCCTTGCGTTGCTGATTGTTTTATACTGTGCTTGTCGCAGTAAATGGGATAACTGTGTGCTATATGTATCAGTTGTTTTTAAGGAGAACAAATGGCTGCGGAAGAGCTTATACGGAAGTTCAGAGAAAATGAGAAGAACAACGCTTGGGTTGAACTTTTTAGGGTGATTTTACTGTTTTCCAATAATTTTTTGAATGTTCATTTTTATCTGACCTATCAAGTTTTTTTTTTTTTTGCTTTCTAACCTGGTTTTAGGAGGTTGACAGGTTATCAACAAAACAGGAGAAAGAGCTTGGTCTTAAGACAGATGTTGCTCGAGCGTGGGTAAATGTTGAGAAAAATCGTTATAGGAATGTCCTTACTTGTTTGTTTTTCTTCAGTGTATTATTCCTTCTTCGATACTTTCTTATTTTCTTTACGTTCATTCGCTGTTTTAGGTTCTCATTTTTCACTCAGAGATTTCTTCCTGTATCTGCTTGGTTCATTGTAATTAAAGTGTATAAAACTGCTAAATTTAGACGATAGCAGTCGGGTGACCTTGAGAAAGGTTCGTGCCGGTGCATCCAATTATATTAATGCTTCCCCTTTGAAAGTTGCTGAAGCGTCGAGGAAATACATTATGACTCAGGTTTAATTTCTTTAATTTTTTTGAATTCAGCATCTGGTGGGAAAACTGTTTGATGATTTTTATGTCTTCTTTTACTCTTTAGTATACCCTATTTTAGCTTATTTTTTGAACTCTGGTTAGGCTATTGCTCCAGGCATATATTAATGGTTCTTATTTGAAAACAGCTTTGTTTAGGGTCCGTTAGCATCGACGTGCAATGATTTTTGGCAGATGGTTTGGGAACAGAAAATCTCTTTAATTGTGATGCTCAATAAACTTTTTGAAAAAAATTCAATTAAGTAAGTTTTTCTAAAATCCTGATCGGTTGTAGTATTTAGACGTTTGTCTATTTATCGTTTATATTGTATGTTAGGTCAGTGTTTATCTTTCTCAACGAATTGCAGGTGTCATGCTTATTTTCCTACTGAAGAAAAGCCTGAGGCAGAATTTGATACATTTTCTGTTACTTTGAAAACAGAAGAGCATTTCACACATTTTGTTGTACGTACATTACAAGTGCAGCAGAAAGAGATATCAGAAAGTTATGAAAGTTCCAGTGATCGTGAACGAAATTCAAGCAGTAGTTCAGAGTCATCGGAGAGTGATGAAAGTGATGAAAGTGCTCGTACTGTTTTTCATTTCCAGTATACTAGCTGGCCAGACTTCGGTAAGGATTGACTTTTATTTCTTTGTTAATTTCCTCCTTGTTTTCTTTCTTGAAAAGACTAGTCCTTGCTTATTTTTTTATTCTTCACGACAGGTTTGACCAGATTTTGCTTCATATGTTTTCAAAGTTATGTTTACCTCTGAAACCCTATGCTTACGAGTTAAAAATGGCGCATTAAATTAAAATTACGTTGGGATCGTTAACATCTCAGTGCTTAAGGCGTTCCTGCTTGTCCTCATGTGTTTTTGGAATTTCTGTATCGTGTGCGGTCTACAGGGCTATTGCGGGATTCTCCGCCGACGTTAGTTCACTGCTCTGCAGGCATCGGTCGTAGTGGCGCTTTTGTTGTTATTGATTCCGTTATTTCAATGGTATTCCTGATTTTAAAATTTACTTAATTCGTCAGTACGTGCCTTTCAACGTTCTGAGAGATCTTAAAAAAAAGAAACATGAAGAGTTTATGAAATAAAAGAAATTCCTGACATCATCAAAGTCTTTTTTCATCGATTTTACCAAGAAATGGCATTTCTAAAACTAAAAGCTTTCAGGTGGAACACAGCGTGAAGTCTGTTGATCTTGTCGAATTAATTTTGAGGTTGCGCAGAAGCAGAATGGGACTTATTCAGACTTCACAGCAGTTGCAATTTTGCTGGAGATCAGTTGCCACAGCTCTTCTGGGTGGTGACAAAGGTAATTGTAGCTGCGATGCACAGCCATCAGAATGGCCGAAAATAGTACCACAGCAGTTATCTCCGTTGGGAACTGGAGGTGCAGCAGAGTCATTGAGTGACTTAAGTGATACCACTGCCCGGAAGCGCTCCGTAGGTAGGGCTGATGAAGGAACTGAAGATGTAAAACGTTCTAAAAGGTTATTTTTTGATATATTTTTTCTATTCTCATTTTAACAAGTGGTTTGAACTTGATTTTCAATATCAATTGCAACTTTAAAGTGGCGTATAAGCTTAGAAACCGGATATCAAGAAATGCTTATGTTTCTTGGAACTTCTTTCATATTTTTTTGAAATGACATTTTGTGTTTATTTTTTCTGCATTAATTTTGGAAATTTGCATATATTACCTGTTTTTAAAAATGTCTAAAATATTTGTTTGAAAAAAGAACTTAACAGTTTTTTTTATTAGTTGACGATGAAGGCTCGTTTCTGGTAAGTTTATTTAAGAGTATTTTTACCTTTCATGTTCATATCCTCTTTACCACCATTTAAAACTGTAACTGTTCAGTGATTCAGGAGAATTCTTGTCGCCAACATGCGAGATCGCCTCCGAGAAAGCGAACGAAAAAGGTCCAAATACTCTTTCTTGAATAATCGCTTTTTTGGTTACGCTTTTGTTACAGCGACCACTGCTGTTGGTGTTTATTGCCTGTATCGTCTGTGCTTAACAGCATCGTTTCAAACCTTCATTAGTTATATACATGAACATGGGTACAGTAATCCGGAATTGGACAGTTTAACTTGAAAGTTGCGGTTTAAATTTACCGCAGTAATGTTCATTTTATTTTCTTGATAATGTTGAAAGTTTGAAACGATTTGTTGGGCAAGTATCACTGATGAAGTAATGGTTATCAATAAAAAATTGATTTCCAGAGTTTTACGGTTTTGTACAATTAGAGGACGCTTATGGCGGGTTTTTATGTCTTATATTTTGTTTTTATTTGTGGCTTTATGGAGCAGAGCGGTGATTTTTTGAAAGAGAGTGTCATAGAAAAGGAATTTGTATAAAAGTTTTTGGATCTAGCCTGCTTGGGACTGATTTTAGTGTTTTTCTTGTTGCTGATTATTCTTTGTTAGCACCTCGTTGGTTCTTGGTGTATTGACAGATCTGCATTTTCCCTTATTAAATTCTATCGATATTAACGTTTCTGGGGTCATACTGATTGTAACGGTTTTTCTTTTAGTTTTTTTTCCATACAGTTTCGTTTGCTGATTATGTTTGATCTCTTTAAAACTGTGCTTTCAAACATTAGTGATTGCCTTATCTTTTCGATCAATAACTTCTGACATCCGTTGCAGTATATCACCAAATATTTTGTTCGTTGTATACTTTTTCTCTGGTCCATGTACTCTACATATCCTATACATTTACTTTCCAATAGTCATAGTTTATGCGGTGTATCTTCAAGTGATTGTTACTTCCAAAACACTAATGGTTAATACGATGTTTGTTTTGTTTGATGTTTAGCGGAGGGAATTGTTAAAATGAATATGCTGGAAAAATAAAGGTGACCGAGAACATTCTATTCGTATTTTTTACTCTTTTCTTCTCTCCGTTGTCATTTCCAGTCAATAACCATTCCCAAGCCGCAACTTGAACGTCTTCTCGAAGTCTGTATCTGGGACGTGGGCCCGAAAACTTAGTTGTCATGTTGTTTCCGTGACCTGCTTTCTCTAATCTAGCACTGCTATTACCTGCGCGATGCCGAGTTTGGATGTATAAAAAATGTACAGTGGAGTTGTTTTTTAGAGTAGACAAAAAGTGAATTGGACTTAGGTAGGAGGTACGTAGCATAGATATTTCTGTTGGGACTTTTCAAGATGTTATGATTTGTGGATGGATTAAAAGGAGTTCAGATTTTTAAAGAGGGCTTTGCTAGGGTATAGTGTTGTGCCTGCACAGAGCAGTTAAAACTGGTACGATTAAATATTTTGCCACAGACGCGATTCATGCGGAGACCATTTTTTGGAGAGTATATTTTCTCATTGAAGTGTCGTTTCATTCTAGGTTGGCTCAGTTCCGCTGTTTTGGCTGCTTTTGAAGTCTGTGATTTCCAGGTCTTGTTATCCCCGGTGAGTTCTGCCACTTCATTTCGAGTAAGCCCTGTGCTTCAATTATTTGATGTTCAGACACTTTCATTCATGTTCCAAATTCTCTACAGGTTTTTATTTCGTAACCAACTGCTCAATTAGTAGTATCCTGTACTCACAGCTGAAATCCAGCGATCCGTAACCAAAATAGGGATGTTTGAAAATTGCTAGGGGCGATGGGCTTTTAGCTGCCAACCAAGCAGTGTGTTGCGAGAAATTCTATTATTTCGCAGTTCAGAAAATTTACTTTGAGGAACATCTTGAAGAGTCAACGACTTTAAAATTTGCTTCATATCCCCACTGTTAAGTTAAAAAAAACGTTTTTAAGAGAAGTATCTGGATGTTGCAATTCAAGGCTTTCCCAAACAAAAAACTGGTATTTTGGAATCAGTTCTCTTTAGATTTCCAAAATGAATTAAAGATAAATCCACGTCTACATCTACGGCTTAAATCTCACGAGTACCGTAAAGTATCGTACAGTGTTAGAGGTGCACAAAACTGCAGAGCTGCTTATAGTTACACACCAACCTGCAGCAATGAACAATATATGTTACTCTTATCATTTTTTTGCTGCAGAATTAAATGTATTAAGTTTACTGAGTTTGGCATACCGCCGAAGTTTGGTATTGTTTACACAGTACACATAGGCGTCGTCATTTCCAATTTGTGTCAAAATTTTTTGCGAAACAGAGA